TTTGTTTGTATTTTTGTTAACAAACATAATAATAAAAAGTGTTCATTGTGGTAAACGAAATATTAATTTGATCTAAGTAAGAGTTTTTCTTCCCGATTTGTAAAAAGTCCTTAGGTGATAGAAAAAAATAATAATATTATTTTCAAAATCTGTTTAACTGAATGAAAACCAAAACAAATTTTATGAAGTTTAAATTCGCAGGCCTGTGTTTGTACATACTTGATAGTCACGTGTGATAATCCGACGAGCCCAGCATTTAGCTTAAGGTGTCACATAGTTAGATGTGTTAGTGTAATAGGCACTGTAGCATCATTAAATACAGATAAGCCAGATTAATACATGGCGTGACGTTTTTCAGTCTAGTTAAATGAACTTTCTGCCTTTGGAGTTAGTATTAAAATGTTGAATTTTGATAGAATAAATATGTCCAAAAGTCATCTATACAGATTATGCTGATATCGTATCATTAGTTTTGAACGAGATTTTGAAATATGTAGGGTTCTTGTCACATTGAGCTGCTTGAGTGAATGAACAATTTCAGGCATGGCGTATTGAGTGATAGGTTACGCTTATATTAAATTTAACAGGATATCCTCACTTTGATACGTTTTTTTTTTCCATGATATCTTGTGTGGCCAGGTGGTTAGGGCGCTCGACTCACATTCTGCGGGTCGCGGTTTCGAATCCCCGTCACACCAAACATGCTCGCCCTTTCAGCCGTGGGGGCGTTATAAAGTGGCGGTCAATTCCACTATTCGTTGGTAAAAGAGTAGCCCAAGAGTTGGCGGTGAGTGGTGATGACTAGCTGCCTTCCCTCTAGTCTTACACTGCTACATTAGGGACGGCTAGCGCAGATAGCCCTCGCGTAGCTTTGCGCGAAATCTATAACAAATAACGATATCTTGCCTATGCCGTTAACAAAAAATCTTGTGTGTAAATTTAGATATTCATTTACTGCAGTTCGTGTAATCACTGTAATAAGCATGGAGTTGATAACTGAAAACAGTTACCGAGTTTATAATGAAACAACTTTGCTCTACAAATATAATGTTGTATACCGAGATTGATTGTTTAACAAAGCGCGTGTATCGTTGTAAACTTGTTATTTTTGTTCAGAAACCCTCAGTAGGTTCTTGTTCATGTTCACCGCCAGTCTTGCCCCTTATTCGGTTGATAAGCTACCCTAATTATGTACTTTTGATAAGAACGAATTAGTATTGTTGCGTCAGCGAGGTCACGTGACTAGTATCACACCACTCGTTCTCTCGAACCTTCGTGAATTGTCGGGAGATTACTAGATATAGTGTTAGTCTTGTATATATATAAGATGGTCACAACGTGACGGGATAATGTGTGTAGGTAGTGAGTAATTGAACTGCAGTCAGAAAGTATTGTTGAAGTCGTTGTTATT